GTGTGAAAATGCAGCTGGATTCTACAAGCCTGTGGCAGGGTAGCACCAGTTCTATCAGGTCCTATATGTTCAAACTGGAAAGGCTTTAGGGATAGCCCAGGTAGGATTGGGTCTGTCTTCTAACCACCAGCTTAGTTTGGTGAGGAGAGACACATCACCAGAGGGTACCCACAGGGATGAGGTACTGGACAAAATGAATACACAGGAAGACGTTTATCAGGGACAATGTAGCATAGTGAATGCTTGTTCCAGTCTTGGGTGTCTGCCATTTGCTATGACCCAAGCAAGTCACTTTACCACAATCATATCAACTTTATCTCAATTAGATCAGATGTTTGATCACTCTATAAAATACTACACAGATTCATTGATAGAGGAAGAAACCCACAATTCCCAGAACCAATGTTGAGTTTCATACTTACTAGAATGTTGGACTCTAGCCCAAGCCCTTCCTTCATTTGACAGATGAATTCTGACCTTCACAACCCTACAGCAGTCAGGACGACATAATACACATTAGGAAACTGAGCCTAGCCAAGTGGCTGGCCTAGATAACAGCTCATTTGTATTTTTTTAAGGCAATTGGGGTTAAGTGACTTGCCCAGGGTCACACAGCTATTAAGCCTCAAGCGTTTGGTCTGAGGCCAGATTTGAACTGAGGTCCTCCTGACTTCACGGCCAACGCTCTATCCTCTGAGCCACCTAGCTGCCCCAGCTAACAGCTCATTTGTGGTCTCAACTCTAGGTCTGTGCCCTTAAACCAAAAGTCAAACTCTCCCAATATTAAGAACTTCAAAGACAAAAAAAAATCCCAATTCATCCATTTATTTTTGGCAGTACATTGACACGCCTTCATTTGTGTGCACTAAAGATCATTCCCTAAGTTACAAGGAAAGGGAGACAAGACTGGATTCTCCACCAATCCCCACAAACCTCCTCCCCTCCCCACCAACACAGATGCACCCAGTGTGTTCCAAGGTTTGAGCTAGAAATCAGTAACAAATTTGCTTTAAATACCTATGGTGTCCTATATAACCTATCCAGATCTCATTTCTAGATGCAACCAAACAACTGTGTATACTTCAGAGAGCTGTGGTCAGCCCACTTAACCCAGCCTCAAGATAAAGGTCATTCTGTTGGCAAAGTTCTTCCTTCTGAAGGGGTCTTCTTACTTGCCATAATTGTAACAATCTTGGGTCATCAACAGAAGCAAAATTAAGTTGTGAAAGGCACATGACAGTATCACTTGACAGTCAACAGTGTAGAAAACCAAGTTATGTCACAACTTGCTCTCAAAATGGCCCTGGTTCATTAAAGTGAAATATTCCACTCACCTAGTACAAATCCATACCTTACAGGAATCTCATGCTGATAAGCTTTCCAACTAGTCTTTAAGAACTCTAAGAATGGAAATCTACCTTCTGATCAACGATTTCTTCTGTATTTGGAAACAAAGTCTGCCCCTCTCCACCTCTACTCCGCATTCCTCCTCACTCCAAATCTCTGCATCCAGACAAAACACTAGTCCAATTCTCACGTAACACCCAAACTCCCAGTTGGGCCTCTTCAGTGATAAAGTGTCTGTTGCCTTGATAAGATTTCTTCCAACCCCACTGTACAAATTAGATTACTGAGTTGGTTGATTCTACAGTTATCCCTTCTGTATCTCAACTTTCCCCACTAAGGTTTCACTCTATGGAGGGCTGGCATAAGATATTAAATAGGAATTTTGGGGGAGTTTCATGGAAGGGGCAGACAACACAAAGTTTAGAAATTCAGAAATGTAGAAAATATATGTATTGTACATCAACATATTTTATCTTTTAACACCATAATAATTCAGATCTCTCTGGCACAAACAGAAGATCAAAAAATTTCACATGGATTGTCCAGACCACAGGGAATACCACCCCCCTAAGCCCTACAAACTGGAAAAGGACGATTGTATATCCTTTTAGTTTATGGGCAGGATAAATCCAAAAGGCTGTCTGGCATATAGACTCGATAATGAAACTAAACTGGAATAGTTTCATCTGTTGCTCATGACAAAACAATTTTTGCTCAGACTATTGGCTCTTATTACCTCAATCCTCTCAGTCCTCAAAATAAGGGAGTTTAATTCCCAGATTTCACAGGCCGTTAGAAGCACAAGCTTTAAGTAGTGATTTCTGTTAATCCCCATTTCCACAGTGGTTTTTAAGAGTGACAAAGCTCTTTGCTCAGTATCACCTTGGGAGGTAAAACAAGTGCTGTTCTCAGTCCTGCTAGGAGATACTATTGGCCCAAGGTCACACAAGATGCCTAGTGGCAAGAGCTGAAATTCAGGTCTGGCTTAATTGATTCTAGGAGATCAGTTATGTTCCTCAGTACCCACAACAAAACAGGACTATCTTTGGCTAAGAAACATACACCACAAACTCAAAGGTTCTCTCACATCCATTTTGGGCCACTTATTCTAATCTGATTTCCCAATTTCAAATGAGTTGTTACAGACGAGCATTTTTCTAATGGTTTTATTCTTCCAACCATATTTTAATATACACAGGCCTCAGATCTTTGAAGTGCAAGTCACAGCTTATTTTTTGGTCTTCTCTGAAGTTCCTATTTAGAGAAAGAGAAAAAAATTGAATGAGAAACTTAAGTAATGAGAGAAATTCATTTTCTCATACTTTCTAAAGCTCTTTCCTACAAACAGCCCTGTGAGGGTAGGCAGGTTATTATGATTACCCCACCATCATTTTACAAGACACAGGCCATGATCTGCCTAGTTACGAGGCTACTAATTAGTGAAATTAGAAAGAACTGGCACTCCTTCAATCCCCACACCACCACGGAGGCCAAGAGAATGAGGAGATTGGTCTCAATTTAGCCACTTAAAAGACCTGCAGAAAACAACATTCCCTTTACTTCCAAAACCAGTTACCAAATTCTTCAGAGTGGGTCATGGATTCTTAAGGAAATTAACCCCTCCATACTGGCAGACTTACATTAGTAAGTTATCCAGGTTTCCCCAGGAAACCATTCCAGGTAAGGGAGTGAGTGCCCAAGCACAAGCAGGCTTCAGCAGCTGCCTCTTAGGGAGTCCTTGAGTCAGACACCATGGTTGCTGGCCACCTTCCTGGGGATTATTGCTTCACTTTCTTCAACCTGTCAAAGTAAATGGGCGTTATTAACCCCATCCACACCAGGGCTCTCATATGCCCCTCCCCACCACCCCAGAAACAATTCACATCATTTACAAGGGTTTCACAAGCCATTCACTGAACCCATCACATCACAGAAGCACAGTTGTGGGCAAAGGTTTCCAGGGCTGGCTGATATACCAGCCAATGTCACATTTCATCCTTAAGCAGAGACAGTTAAATCACTTCTGATATGGCTGCTTAGGGAGAGTGTGGGCTCTGGGGAAAAAATGGCAACAAGGAGATGGCAAAGAAAGCTACACTTAAGTGAGCGACTTAATGAAGTCTAGGAAGATTCTCAATAGATGAATGAAAATCCAAAAGGCAGGGAATTCAGTTGTTTCCAATCTTGCTTACATACCTACTAGCAAGACATGACTGTGTGCCCAGCTCTGACCCATGGAACGAAATATCTGTGCCACACACCAAGGATTGCAATAGGCATGATTTTAATTTGCTTTTTTTTTTCTTGGTTGACTTAAAATAGTCAAAAAAAGGAACATTCCACAGGCACATTAGACTTTCAAATGAGCTCTCAACAAGAGGAAGGATGCGGACATGAGCAAAAGGGAGTTACCTCGAATTACAGGACTATTTCCACATATGAACTAGCCAAGAAAGCAGCCTTCGTCTCAGAGGTTTCTCTGTTGGGAGGCACAACACTTCTTTTCTCCAGGGACACTGCAGTTTCCATATGCTAGCAGAGAATTCTTAGAACTTGTAAGGCAAGGACAAAGCTAGCTAATAAGTCAATTTCTTTGTTGTTGATTTTCCCTTGTCTACCTTGGAACACTGTGCTACTCCAGTTATCACAAGACTTTAGATTCTAGACTAAAATTTGTCAATGTTTTGGTACAATGGTGCTCAACGGTTACTGGATTAAACTTGCCACCAGTCCTCTGGCTTCCAAATGAGTCAAGTAACACAAATTAAATTACAGCTAAAGCTTGCCTATTCCACGTGTCTGGCCATGCAGACTACAGTGCAACAGGTTGTCATCCTCAAAGAGTGAAGTCATGTTTAATGTACTCAAATGCCAGGACCAGCATGGGCTCTCTTAATTTCTGTTTGGTTTCTGCTGGTCAGAAGCTTGACTCTCCCGTCAGCCAACTCCTCCACCTACACTCTCTGCCCTGTGGTCTGCTTTGTCACTTGCTGTCAACACGTCAGACATCCAGTAAAGGGGTGTGTTGTGCATTGAAAGGTAAATGTCAGGAGCACAGTTCATTTCAGACGGTCTTTTAATAGGCTTCGTAAAGCCAAAGAAAACTGTATACAAGAATTCCTTAACCACTTCAAATACAATATCAATGGAATATGCATACTTCTTCCAGTAAAAAAAGGACAATATAAATAAACATTTTCAAGAACCTCTTTTATGGAAAGTTTGCAAGTCTATTTCTGGGTAATTTACAGTATACAGTAAAAATACCTTTATGCAGAGTGAACATACAAGCAGTTTCTCTTTAGATATACCAAGGTGGTCTGCCTCTCCACAAACCCTCACGGCTGCATTCCTACCTTGCTACACTAAAGGAAGGTTACAAAAAGTTGAAGGTAACGCACTTAAAAAAAAGAAAAAAAAAAGAAAAGCCAAACCTCCACAGCTTGTTCAGCTTCCCGTGAACATTGAATTTAAGGTCCTTTTCTAGCTCAAAGAAAACCGAACCAGGGCCCCCAATTTCACAAGTTTTTGTTGTAAAAAGAAAAAAAAATTAAAAATTAAAACAAAACCAAAAGAAAAAAAAAACCAACAAAAAAGAAAACCATCACACCTTGGCTCATGACGAAAAAAAAAATAAAATCCGAAGTGCTTTCAAAAATGCTTTTTAAAAAAACACTTGAGAACAGACAAGAGCTTTCTTAAAAGAAAAGTCTAATTAGGCCATCTCATGTCCGAAGCTGTCAGGCTGTGTTTGACAAGATCAGAACTGATAATACTACAAAAGTGAATACAAGTAGATGGGTACTACACAATAACGATTCAGCGAAGCTCCAAAAATCTTTATAAATACAGCCATTGGAAGGACGATCTTGATTCAGGAAGGATTTTTACTCGTTGTGTGTAGCTGAGGACAAGAAGCAGGCACAATTGTAAAGGCACTGAAGCACATGACAAGTTGTAGCATTTCACTCCCCTGAATTACTGCGGAGGCTAGGCCACTACATGATCCTAAGGAGAATTTCCCCCCCCCCAAGTCTAAAGCGTGTTAGGACACTCCGAGGTCTGCATCGTTAGGAGGTCAGAGAAGGGGACACTAAAGATGCTCTGCAGCTTCAACTAAGGCCTACACATGCATTAACACTAGGTAAGTTCTTTTTTCTTTTTTTCTCTTTCTTTCTTTTTTTTTTTTTTGGCAGAAAATGGTTCCTCGCACCAAGACCTGACAGAATGGACTTGTTCCTTACGGGAAAAGCACCGTGATAAGGTCTGAGCGTTGAGAGCCTTAAAGTTACTTCCAGAGATCAGTACAAGGTCATGGAGTCAAGATTCAGAGTTCCCACATACATTGGCGGCGTTCCCTTTTGAACCAGGACTTACCATAACTGTCATAGCTGTCTCTGTAAGACCCTCCTGAAGACCGGTCACCGTAGCCTCCTTGACTCCTGCTGGGAAATCACAAATGGGGGAAGAGTGAGTTTGGGGTGTTTTCAAACAGCTAACTGCACAGGGGCAGTAGGGCAATTTCTTCACAACTACATTTCTTCACGCAGCCAGTAACAGCAGTATTTTATGTTCCAATAGGGAGGGGTCAATGGCTTCATGGTTAAGAAATAAGACTGAGTTAGGTCTGCAGTATGCCAGAGGGCCCTATTTTTGAGCCCACCATCCTTACCTGCTGCTGTAATAGTCTCTGGAACCTCCATATCCCCCACTTCTTGATTCAAATCTGCTCCCCCCATAACCACGGTCTCCACCTCCTATGGCAACACAGAAGGGAAAGAGTGACTGTCAGTATCTGCAGTTAAAAACACAAGTCGAACACCACAATTCCATCTATTATTTCCAACACTCACCTCTAGAAAAACCACGGCCTCGACCTCGGCCTCCACGGAAGAAGCCTCGGCCACTGGATGAACCTCCTCGGTACCCACGGGACCGGTTTTCTGATGATTTGCCTGCCTGGTCAACTCTAATCTGCCGCCCATCAACAGACTGAAAAGCAAATATTTCAAAAGATTAACCTTAACACACAGAGATGGAGAACTGCCATTCCCATGACTTCATTTTTTTCAATCTCTTCCTTTCTATTGGCTCACTCTCAACTGCCTACAAACACGCCTCTGTCTCTCCCACCCTGAAAAAAATCTCCTGATCCTACCTCCCCCCAATATCATCCTCTTTTCTGCTGAACACCTTGAAAAGGCCATCTACAATAGGTGCCTTCATTTTCTCTCCTCTCATTCTCTTAACACTTTATAACTTGGCTTCCAAACTCATCATTCAGTCAAAACTGCTTTCTCCAGTTACCAATGATCTGACAAATCCAAAAGCCTTTTCCAATCTTCATTCTTGACCTGTCTAAAACCTTTGACATTGTGGTTCACTCTCTCCTGCTTCTCCTCCTACCTCTCTTGGTCTCCTTTGCTGGATCCTCCACCAGATCACCCTTTAACCCCCTCTATACTACTTCATTTGGTGACCTCACCAGCTTCCATGTACTTAATGACCATCTCTGTGCTGACAATTCTCAAATCTACCTAGCCTGCCCCAAATTCTGTGCTGAAAGGACCTTGAATTGATTGTCAAGATTCCTACATTCTAGTCCTAAGCTCCATTTAAAATTTTGAGCTTTAACAATTCACTCTCTGAGTTTCAGATGCCCAGCTGTAAAAGGGAAGCCAGTGTTTTAGATTATTTCTAAGGTCCCATCTGGCTCTAATATTTGTTCAATATTTATTAAGTGGCTCTGTGCAGAGCACTGTGCATGGGAGAGATGAAGTTTGGATGAGACATCATTCCTGCCCTCCTGAGGAGGATGGTCTAGTCAAAGGATATAAACTAATTATAATACAAAAGTATTAATTACTCAAGTACATAAAAATAGTAGCTCTGAGGAAGAAATCAAAAGGCTTCTCGTAGAGAACTGGTCTTAACATGGGGAGGACATTCGAGTCATAGGAACAGCCTGAACAAAGGCATGGGAGGCAGCAGCACTGGGGGTGTTCAGAAACAACAAAGAGTAGGCTAGTTTGGCACATGGTAGGGAAGTAATATGATATTAAGGCTGGAGAATAAAATGGCAACAGATGGTGCAAAGCCTTCAATGCCAAACCTTAAAAAAACATTTCTTTAATTGGTAGGCAATAGAAGTCCACTGAAGGCTTCTGAGGAGAGCAGTGATGTAACCAGAACTATGCATAAGGAAGTTTAGTGACAGCAAGGGGGAAAGAGAGAGAGTGAAATCGGAGGCAGAAGACCTTGTAGGAGGCTACTTCAATAGCCCAGGGAGGTAGCAAGTGAAAGCCCAGAATAAGCTCTATCAGCATCTGACTCCAATCAAGCCATCAAAGAAAGGAGTCTCACCAGCCCTTACCTTTCCATTCATGGCCATCATTGCATCTTTAGCATCATCTATGTTCTCAAATGTGACAAAGCCAAAACCTCTGGATCTCTGAGTCTCCCTGTCTTTCACAACAACAACTGGGAGGGAAAGAAGCAGTGATTAGTCATTATACAAAAACGGAGCCACCACTCCCAAACAACCCCATCTCCAAAACTCTGAACAGGAACTTGATCCAGACTTACCTTCAGCAATCTGTCCGTACTTTGAGAAGACCTGTTCCAATGACTGCTCATTGGTATCAAAACTCAGTCCACCAACAAAGAGTTTTCCTTCATCTGATGCCATCTTGACCTAATGAGAAAGAGTTTTTTCTGTTTAGAGCCAAGCTGCTGCATTTTCACCTACTTGCTAAACTTCCTCTTCAGAACCAAGACTCCCAATAACAATTTAGGTGTTGGCTTTTGAAATACTGAGTTCACAATTCCTGGCTTTGGATTGTAATCCCTAAGAAACTAACCTCCCACCTCCTCAAAAACCTGGTCAAATTTGTAAACTGGGGCTGGAGGGGAAATAGGGTGGGGCAAGTGCTAGAGGCAATCAGTGACATATTAAAAAAAACACAGAAACCAAAACACAAGCAGATTCAAAGCTTTGCAGTAAAGCAGCATCTAGTTCACTGGGGTTCTCAAATCTCCATCTGGGATCTATGCCTAAATTCCTTTGGATTCATTCATTAGAACATCAGATCAAGGGCCCTTTCCAGCTTTCATAGCAGAAAAACATGAAATAAGCAGTCTCTTGGAGCCTGGACAGAGTTCTCTCCCTTACTCCCCACCACAGCACTTACTTGAAGCCTTAAATTATGATATAAAGTTAGAAAGGGCTCTTCAAGCAACTAACTCAACACTTTCATTTTACATATAGGGAAACCAAGGCCCAGAAAAATTAAGCAATTTGTCCAAGGGTCATACAAGTGTTAAAGGAGCAGAAATGGAAATGGACTAAATGGCCTTGGAGGTACCTTCTTGCTCCTAAGATGATAGCTAGGATCCCATGAGAGATTACCATGGTATAGTAGAAGAATATGTAAATTAAAAATCAGGAGCCTGTGGGACGGCTTCATAACTCAAAGAGGACTTATATGTTATCCAATCTAGCCCCCAAAGTGCCTTCCCTAAAACCACCTAAGAGCTAAGAACCCAAATTCAGCACTCTCCCCTCCCATTCTGGGCTCCAACCCCAATGCAGCCACTTGCTACCGGAGGGGGGGGGGAGGCGTCCCCTTCTTCTTTGGGCCTCGGTTTCTCTAACAAAAAAATTAAACCTTATATGCTGCCCATGGAGCGCACCCCTCTTTTTATATCTTTTCCGGCAAGTCCCACGACCACTTTACAGGGGAATGTTACAGGTGGGTTTTCACGCTTCGGTCCGGAACTGACCAACTGACCTCGAGGTTGCTGCTTTGGTGCCGGTCAATCCTGGGGCCCTTCTGGCAAGGGCAGGGGGGGTGGGGCACCCGGAAGGCCTGAGTTAACTCAGAACAGTATAGGCATGCTCCCGGGCCTCACTAAGCTGGAAACTAGGAGCCTACTGCAGAGGCCGGTCCACCTCCGGGCCTACCCTCTCCCCAAGCCAAGGAGGCCCTAACTCAAAATGGCCGCCGACCACGTGGCCCGCTAGACTCCAGGAGCGCCTCCCCCTGCCCCCTTCCTTATGTAGGAACTAATTCTCGTGCCCCACTCAGCTTCCCCTTAAATCAGGGCCCCCCCCCTCGTTCATGGTACAGTCCACCCAAGGCCTCCCCCCCTTCCCCCTGCCCCCGCTAGCGGCCGCCTCCTTCTGCGCATGCGTGAGGAGCCCCCGCCTCGCCTCCCTGCGCCACTCCATCCGGGCATCTCCGGCGGTCCCCGCCATTTCGCTAGGCGCCCGCCAAGATTCTCGGCCGCCATTTTGCGGCAAAGCCGCAGAGAGCCCGACTGCCCTGACGGCCCCCTGGGACACAGCAACGGCAGCACCCTTACTTCGGTTGTTGGCCGCCGCAGCCTAACCCACCCTGACCCAGCGGGCGGGCCAGTCCTGACCACAGCCCCATCCCAGGGGGGCGTGCCGGTGCTTAAGCCCGTCTCCGCCCAGGCGCTGGGCCGCCGGTCTTCTCCTCCCTCTTGCCTTGCTTCCCCTCCCCCCCCAGACCCCGACCACCCCAGGCCCTCCCAGCTCCGCAGGCTCGACCAAATGGTCGGGGGCGGGCTCCCTCACCGGTGTGTTGGATGGGGCGGGAAGGACAAGCGGTGTCAGCGAACAGACCAGAGCGACCTGAGCCTCCTAACGGGAAAATGAGCGGCGCGCCCAAGAGCTCGGCCTTATATACTCTGCCACGAAGCCACGCCCTATAGCTCCACCCCCTCCGAGCCCAGAGGGCCAATCGAAGGGACCTAAATCCGGACGCTGATTTATATTCATGAGCTTCAGCGAGCTCTCTCTCTCCCTTCCAGCCCCTCCCTGCTCCTCTGAGGATGTGTAAAGGGATTGGTGGGGACCATGCCTGCCGCTCGTCCGCAGTCCCCCTCCCTTCAGGGTGAAGAGCCCTCTATCCCCAGGCTACAGAAGAGCGGGGGCGGGAAGACAGACAGGGGATTGGAGGCGGGGCTAAAATCACGCCCCCTTCTGGGAGTCAGAGGCGGGGTTGACCCAGTTTGGCGCGCTCTCCCACCAGCACTGCGGCGGCCGAACAAAGGAGCTGCAGTGAAAACGGAGACCACCCCCGCCATCTTGGAGGCCTGGGCCCCGCCCCCTCCAGAGGCCCCGCCCCCCGGGAACGGTCTAACACGCCCCGCCCAGAGGCAGCCGAGCTCCGCCCTCGGCGGCCCCCAGCCCGAACCACCGGGAATCACAGCTCCTCCACATCCCCACCCCCATCCCTCGCAAGACCCGCCAACGCTCGAATGCTTGGTGGTTACGCCCCGAAGATCAAACCTTCCTCCCCTCGCCTCCCTGCTAAACCCCTCACCCCAACTTCCCGAAATGCGCCAGGGTCCCGCAGACCCCCCCAAACCTCCTGTCCCAACCTCCCCCAATGCGCCAGGGCCCCTAAGGGCACCCCGCCCCAGTCCCCTACCCCAACCTCCCTCTATGCTCCAGGGCCCCGCAGGTCACCCCCACCCCGAGCCGGCTAATTACTCCCACTTTCCCCTTCCAGGGGCTGTCCCAACTCTACCAACGCCCAGGTGCTCCACGGGTTGCCCTCCCCCCGCCCAGCCGGCAAATCCAAGCGCATACTCAACCCACCTTGTGTGTGTTCCACACTGCTTTCCTTCCCACCGTGTCCTGGTGGGTTATAGCCCCACCACCAAATCACCCATCCGTGGCCCAAGAGTTATCCCCCCGAGTTCACCCACACACCCACACTTGGTTCCATACGTTTACTGCTTCTCCCCTCCTCCCCCCATCAGCCCACACAACAACCCATATCCCTGTCAATTACCATTGACCCGGGTTCCTAACCCAGGTGTCATCTATGACCCTTCCCTCTTCTTCATCCCCACATCCAATCGCTTACCAAATTGTGCCATTTGTACCACTCCCACATCTTGCATCCAGCCCCTTGTAGATCTATCTCTGTATCCCCAGCTCTGAATTCTGTGCATGTAAGAGTGCTCCATACTGTTTGTGGAATTGAACTGAATTGCTTCAGGCCCCCACCCCCACAGCTCCGACTATTCTTAGCAGCTCCATGCTCTGACTCTACCATCCACCTGTCATGCTTAGACTTGGCAGAGCTGGTAACAGACTTTGGAAACCACTTTATTTAAAGTAATTTTGTCATTCCGTATTTTTCTGGACCTGTGCTTGCCTCCTTGCAAGGTGGAAATGATGAGTATCTACAGATGACATGCAGATCTGGTGCTTTCTCTGTAATTTAGGAAGTCTTAGGAAATGAAGTCATCTGATATGTGTCAGAGGCCTTCCTGCATCTATGTTGAGACCTCCATATGACACTGGTTCTCTGGGAGCCAGTGCTAGACCTGGAGCCAGTAAGACCTAAATTCCAATCTTGCTTCACGCTTAGTAGCTGTGTGTGACCCTGGGCAAGTCGCTTTCTGTATCTCATTTGTAAAATGGGCACGATAATAGCACCAACCTCCCAAAATTGTGGGAATAAAATGAGATAATATTTGTAAAGTACAGGTATGTTGAAAACTTCAAAGCTCTATATAAAGATTAGCTATTGTACATTTATACGTTTACTTGTATAAATGCAACATACACGTGTACTAGCAGGAGATGCAACATAACATAGTAAAAGGCCAGCCTCAGAGTCAGGAAAACCTGTGTTCAAATCCTGCCTCTCTGCTCAGTAATGACTTACTTTATCCATTTCCCAGCCCCAGCATTTTCACAGCCTCGTGGCTGGACTTCTCTGCCTTCTCATCTCCTTGCTTTTCTGGCTTTCTTCAAAATCCCACCTTCTGCAAGAAGCTTGTCCTGGTCCTCCTTAATGTTCAAACCTTCCCTCTGACATTATCTCCAATTTGGTTTGTACCTAGTTGTTTCCATATTGTTTCTCACCCCCACTACGTGGTATACTCTGAGTTCAGGACTGTCTCTGGCTTTTCTTTGTATTCCCAGCACTTAGCACAGTGCCTTGGCACCTAGTAGGTATTTAATAAATCCTTGCTGGCTTGAATATGAAGGTGATAAATGTCAGGGCTCTGACACTTGAACTCAGGGCTCTAGAGTCCATGGGTTCCCAAAGTGGGCAATGCCGCCCCCTGGGGGGGGCAGTAGTAGCCTCAGGTACAATTGGGGAATGTTGCATAAAAATAAAGGGGTGATGGAAGCATAAGGAAAGAGGAGATAATGAAATTTTGAAAAACTGTATATGTTTCATCTTTTGTGTAACAGTTAAAGTCATAGTGATTACATTATTTTGCAAATAAATACAACAAATTCTAGTTATAACCTATCAGTGATCAAGTCCTCTAACGGGTCTTAACAAGCAGGTGTTGGCAGGGGGGCATACCATGAGTCGTCGGGAAGTCTGGCATGCGTCAGCAGGAATATGTGCTGTTTAATGACTTGTTTACACTCTGGTGCTATGTGGTGACATGACACGATATTGCATCATCCAAATGTCAATGCAGGAAAAAACTCACAAATTTAAAATAAATTATTAAATTTAAGATATGTCATTTAAAAAAATTTATATTTTTTGAAGTGATGCAAATTTTAAAAAAATGTTAAAAATTTAAAGAGAGTAGCTTTCCAAAGGGGTGCTGAGTAAACTTTTTAAGGGGGTGGTAGGCCAGATAAATTTGGGGATCTCTGGAATAGCTGTTAACTTGGGGAGGAGGGGGTGCAGATCATTGTAGCAAATGTCTCTGATAAAAGTCCAACACCCAAGAAATATGCAGAATCGATACGATGTAAAAATAGGAGTTGTTCCTCAATAGATAATCAGTCAAATAACATGATCAGGCAGTTTTCAAATGACTACGTGAAAGAATATTCCAAATCACTAATAAGTGAAATATAAATTATAATAACACAGAAGTCTCACCTCAGATTGGCAAAGACAAAAATGAAAGATGGCAATTGATGGAGGGGCCGTGGTAGGATAGGGACATTAAGGCATTGTAGGTGAAGTTGTGAACTGGTCCAGTCATTCTGAAAAGCAATTTGGAACTATATCCCCAAAGTCACTAAACTATACATGCTATTTCATCAGTGATGCTACTACTAGGCCTATACCCCCAAAAAGGGCAAAGTCAGAAATAAAGGACTTAAAAGATGTATATAAAAACATTCATAGCAACATGTTTTTATTGTAGCAAAAAAAAAAAAAAGGAAATAAGGCTACCCATCAATTGTGGAATAGCTGCACAGATTGTGGTTTAAGAATGTAATGAAATGTTATAACATAAAAACAATGACTAATATGGAGGATTCAGAGAAACTCAAGAAGATTTGTGTAGTGGGGGCCAATCCCATGCTTAGAATTGTTCATCATCAGCCACTTACTTGTGTAGTAAGAGAGGAGGAATGGATTAGTGGCCGGTGTAGAAATGAGAGAAAGAGAGAGGCAGGGACAGAGAGAGACAGAGACAGAGAATAAAAGATTTAAACACAGAAATAGCAAAAAAAAATTCAGGAGGTTAGGTGGGGTACTTTTGTTACTACATTTACTAAATTTTAAAACACACTTTTTTTAGATGTTCATGATTTCAAACAAAATCTTTGTTTTCTGCCTATTAAAATGTTTATTTTTACTTTTTTCAAGTATGAGATAATTTATTTTCATTTAAAATTTTTATATTTCATTTTTTCCAATTACATGTAAATACAATTCTTAATTCATTTTGTAAAATTTTGAATTCCAGATTCTTTCTCTCCTTGCCATTTCTCCCCCCTCCTTGAGAAAGCAGGCAATTTAATATACATTATACACGTGCAGTCATGCAAAACATATTTCCATATTAGCCATGTTGCAAAAGAAAACAGACAAAAAAAAAACCAACCCAAGAAAAATAAAGTTTTAAAAAAGTATGCTTCAATCTGTATTCAGACTCCATCAGTTCTTTCACCGGAGGTGGATAGCATTTTTCATCACGAGTCCTTCGGAACTGTTTTGGATCCTTCTGTATCTGAGAATAGCTAAGTTATTCACAGTTGATCATTGTACAAGATTGCTGTTACTGTGTGCAATGTTCTCCTGGTTCTGCTCACTTCCCTTCTATCAGTTCATACAAGTCTTTCCAGGTTTTTCTGAAACTATTCTGTTTGTTATTTCTTATAGCACAATAGTATTCCATCACAATCATATACCACAACTTGTTCAACCATTCTCCAGTTGATGGGCATCCCCTCAATTTCCAATTCTTTGCCACCACAAAAAGAGGTGATATAAATATTTTTGTACTTATAGGTCCTTTTCTCCTTCTTTTTCTTTTTTTTTTTTCAAATCTCTTTGGGATACAGACCTAGTAGTGGCATTGCTGGGTCAAAGGTATGTGCACATTAGGTATAGTTTCAAATTTCTCTCCAGAATGGTTGGATCAGTTCACAGCTCCACCAATAGTGAATTAACGTCCCAATTTTTCCACATCCCCTCCAACATTTGTTGTTTTCCTTTTCTGTCATATTAGCCAATCTGATAGGTGTGAGGTTGGTACCTCAGAGTTGTTTTAATTTGTATTTCTCTAATCAATAGTGATTTAGAGCATTTTTTCATATGACTAGAGATAGCTTTGATTTCATCTTCTGAAAAACCACTCATTCACGTATTTTGATGTTTATCGATTGGAGACGACTCATATTCTTATGATTTGACTCAGTTCTCTGCAGTTGAGAAATGAGGCCTTTATC